TTTATCTTAAAGACATTCATTTAGATAACGTGATGATGATGATGATGATGATGATGATGATGATGATGATAATAATAATAATAATAATAATAATTTATAACAATAAGAATTAGAATGAGAATAATATAAATTACACTAAAATAGATTTTTTTAAAGTTTTTTAGATTTTTTAATTTTTTCAAGTTTTTCTAGTTTCTTCCAGTTTTTCCAGTTTCTTCTAGTTTCTTTCAATTTCTTTCAAATCTTCCAGTTCCTTATAGTTTTTTCCAGTTCCTTGACTTCTTTCAAGTTTCTTCCAGATTTTTCAAACATTCAGCACTTGTTTTCCAGTGTTAAATAACAGACTCTAAATATGAGTAAAATATAGAGAAAGTACCAATAAAAGAGTTCCATAATTTTGTTATCTAAATAAGAATTCACACTAAGATAATATGACACTGTACATGTGCATTTTACTATACGTTTTGATAATGTATATTTTCATGATTGGTAATGTAAAATTGTAAATATATTTTAACTCTATTTCGGGAAAAATATTGAAATCTTATTTTAATATACTTTCAATATTTTACTCATATTTTAATTTTTGTGTTACTAGTTCGACACTTGTCTTTTCCTCAATTAAATTTTCACATAAAAAACAACATATTCGTCATATTTTGGTGTATAATATTAAACCTATCTTTCAATCCTTAATCACCATCTAGAATCTAGATAACTCATAACTGACGTATGACTCTCCATTCCTTACTAAAATTTCCCATTCCATATTTCTATTATAAGGCAGACATTAGAATTATTTCCTACTTTAATTTTGGCTTTGTTTGGGAACAGCGTTTTTGATTAGCGTTAGCGTTTTGGATAAAATTTTAATGATATAGATTAATTCTGAAAACGCTAACTCTAAAGGCTACCGTCGGATAGCCTTTTCGAAACGCTAACGCTAATAGCTAACGCTCATCTCAAACGGGGCCTTTATCTTCTTTGAGCAATACGTCATTAATATATATATATATATATATATATATATATGTATATATATATATATATATATATATATATATATATATATATATATATATATATATATATATATATATATATATATATATATATATATATATATATATATATATATATACATATATATATATATATATATATATATATATATATATATATATATATATATATATTCGGTTAATATTATCATCAGATACTTATCCAAATTGGAGAAATGTCATTAATTAATCAATTAATTAAATACTCAACCACAATTTCTATTAGCATTAATGTTTTTGATAATTTTTGTTCATAATCCTGATTCAATTTGAAACAATAAAGTTAAATGCTACGGCTACATAATAGTTTTAAAATTGCAAAAGCTAAACGCTAAATTTGCTGCCAAATATACACTTAGACCTGTTTGAGAATACCGTTAGCGTTTTGAAAATACTATTTACAGACAGCATTTAGCGTTAGCGTTTTTAAAGTAATCTACACCGTTAAATTTTTATCCAAAACGCTAACGTTAATCTCTAACGTTATTCCAAACAGGCCCTTAATCAAGATGCTAATTTATATAAGCACTCTAAAAATTGATAGATGCACCCCATCCTTTCCACATTGAATTTTTAATTTTATTAAAGTTAGAAGTATTTTAAGATTTTTATGTAAACTTTTGCTACACTTTTTTTACATAGAATTTTACAACGCCTCTTTTTAAAGGAATTTTGCTAGATACACTTCTAAGTTCTACTCCCTCCGTCCCTAAATAAACTTCTATTTTTGACTTTTTGAGAATTTAAGGGAGGGATATTTTTGTGTTGACTTTCCAAAAATACCCTTGATGTGATGTGTAAAAGTAAGATGTGATAGGTAGATTATTAGTAAAAGGTATGATATGATAGGTAGGGTATGAAAAAGTAAGGGGTAAAAGAGGTTTTTTAAGGGAAAAGAGAAGTTTATTTGGGGACAAAGAAAAAACGAAAGGGGAAGTTTATTTAGGGACGGACGGAGTAATACGGAGTAGATAACTATATAAGCACACACTACACACATATACTAAAATTAGAGGTGTTTCAAAAATTATATAAAAAATAACTTCAACAACATAATTTACACTTTTTTATAACTTAAGTTGATTTATAAAAACTTAGGTCTTAGAATTGTATTATAGAGAGCATTAATTTTCATTATTTGGAATTTTGTGAACTTAGGTGATTTGAAAAGATAGCATTTCTAAAATTTTTAGTAGAACACTATATAGTCCTCCGCCCTCCAGATTTGTCACTTTTTGAACGTACAAAATCATATCTCATTGATAACAATAATTTTATTTACAAATTCTTAAAGAAATTGATAAATACGTAGTATAACTTATATTTTCTAAAAATACATCAAAAGTTTTACATAACAAGTGATGACATGCCTATTTTTATTTTATCAAATGATAAAAAAATGTATACGCAAACAAATGTTATCAGAAATCAGAATTGTAAATTAGACCATTTTTTACAGACGGAAAGAGTAATGAATTGATGGATCATGATATGCGCTTTAGTCACACCAACTTTGACAACAAAATAAACACCATATATGTTTTCATTGTTTTGAATAATACTAGGGTACCACCATGGGTGCACACATGCTTCGCACAGACAAACAATTAACGTCTGTGTTTGTCTGTGCGAAGCATGGGTAGATGCACCCATAGTAGCACTCATGTGGTCGCACCTTAGCATGACCAATTTGTTTTATCGACATGCAAAGATAGTCATTGATTATTTGGATTGCATAGGCACTTTTGCAGGAGTTGTGCTTCAGTAGTCTTAAGATTTACATGAAAAATATGGACATTCTCACCTTTTTATTGGCTTACCACTAGATATTTTCTTTCCTCTAAGAGCCCAGTTCTTTTATGAGGAATTTACCTAAATATGACTTAAACATAATGACTTTCTCAATATAGGACCACATGTTTTTATTTTCCAATGTAGGAACATTGGTCATTACCATTAGTCATTATTTAATTAAATGTCCACCATCACTGGACATTATTCCTCTCGCTAGACATTATTAAGTCCTATTTAGGGAATAAAAAAGTTTAGGTCTTACATTTGAAAATGACTTATATTTTAGTCCTATTTAGTGTAATTTTTTTCTTTTATATTGTTTATGTGCTAAGATTCATATATTGAGTGTGAACATAAGATCCACGGAAGAATTTTCCGGTTTCTAGGGTTGTTTAATCATGGTCCTAAAGTGTGCATCTAAAATGTGAACATTCTCATATTTTTCATGGTCTGACAAGTGATTTTTTTCTTTTTTATAGAGGTCTAATTTTTCTATGATATCAATATACTAAAATCCATAAATTGAGCATGTACTATACCCTAGACCCATGTAAAAATTTGCCTAAGTCTGTATATTTCTATATATAGAACACATGATGTCAATTTTAGTAGATCATAAAATAGATTTTTTCCTCTTTTTTGAGAACTATTAATAACTCTATTTCAATATGGGCAAGGTTCCATTGACACTGCTTCTAGTGTCATCACATGACACTCACTCATTTGAGGCTTCTCCGATACTCTATTCACAAAGTTGATGATTTCTCCTATTAGCCCCCCCTAAACCCAACACCCCCATCCCCTAAACTCCTTTTTAATTTACCTTCTCCAAATGTGTGGATATATTATGCATTGCATAATATCCACACATTTGGAGAGGGCTTAGGGTGGGACTGGGGAGTGGGGCTTACGGTGGCGCAGGTGTGGGGGATTTAGGGGTGGGTTAGGAGGGCAGGAAGTCAGGAACTATCAATTTTATGGATTGAGTACCGAAGCTGCTGCAAAAGTGCAGTGACACCGCTAGTGACATCGTTGACTAGTATCAATAGAATCGTGCCCTTTCAATATAATATTTGTCTAGATATACATTTTAATCTACATCTACTAAAGTACAGAGAGTGAATTAGCCATGAGTCTCGAATCTATTTTTCTTTTATTGTCTAAATTGTGTATATCCGTGATTACCCATGCCTTACTACATACGGAGTACCATTTTCTAAAAATAGATTTATCTTTAATTTCCTAGGGTTCCGTTAACTTGGTGACTAGGGTGGCAATAAACGCCACGTGGCTAATCTATATGTGCTTCAACACAACAGCTGGCTGCACTTAAAATACACGATTATAATTATAACTATAATAATGATGTAAATCACCGCCTGCCGTCAAAAAAAAAATGTAAATCACCGCCTAATTGTGTTTGTTTGCCTATAAATATACCCGTCCAAACACAACCTTAATTACCATTTCTAATTCGATCAATTAACTAAAAAATTGTTTTTTTAAAAAAAAATATATATAAATAAAATTAAAAAGTAGCTTCATTTTAGCGGCAGGCGATGGGTAATATATTATCCTACCTTTGTAATTACCCGGATAAAGAGAGGGTAATGGGGAAAGACCTTGAGAGGCTTGAGGTACTTTGTATTATACGGAGTATTTTCTTTCTTTTAGATCTTATTGTTATTATTATTATTATTATTATTGAATAAGTTCTATATATATAGATAGTCTCTTATGTAACACGTGGATTTTCAAATATAATTCTCATATTTATGAGCTTTTAAACACAACATTGGGTATATTAAACCCTAATTATGCACAAGGTTAAAAAAGTTAGAACAGATACTACATTGTAATAAAGTAAATAATACGAAAAATCCTAATTGCAATATGCCCTAAACCGCGGCCACAAATTTTTAAATAAACCAAATCGATTTCATTATCCATAACCAAAATATATTCCCTCCGTTACGGGTTACCCGACTTACTTATTTAATTAAAAAAAAAAAGAAAATGAAGTACTCCATAATCTTTCCTCTATTTTATGAACAAATTTCAAGTACTTATTTGATATTTAAAAAAATTAAATCAGGTGATATTAAATCTAATTACTATCAACAAATTAAAGCAACCAAACTAAGAACTCAATTTGTGCAATTGTAGGCACAAGAAATACTTCACTCTGTATATTCTAACACGGCCCTCACATACGTGCATGCATATTAAAACAATTATAGTTCTTTTAGCCAAATACAAGCCTATTTAGTATTTGCATAAATATTTCTTTTAAATATAATACAGACGGTGGCGATGATGGTGGAGATGGATTGCCGCAGCTGCGAGTGGAGGGCGAGGACCGCGGCTAAAAGGATAAAAGGCGTGACTCGGGTCGACGTTGATGCGGACAGGGAGAAGATGACGGTGGTGGGGTACGTGGACCCCGTGGAGGTGTTGGAAAAGGTGAGGCGCGCGACGGGGAAGAGGGTGGAGTTTTGGCGGCCGGAGATGGAGGACCTCCGGCCATGCAGTGTTTCGGCGGCGACGGCGGTGTACGAGACAAGGGATCCCTCCCCAAGGCACGTTCGAAATGTTGTGTACGATCGTCCCATGGAACAGACCGTGACAACATATACAACTCCAAATAATAATAATGGATATATTATGCCTAGAGAACCAAGATTTGTCACAAGCCCTAGAGAACCAAGATTTGTCACAACTTATGCTGATGAGGATGTTGCTTGTCAAATTATGTGATGTTCATTATATTTTATACCCAAGCTTTATATTACATCAAGTTTAATAATGTTACATGCATGTATATATATATGGTAGAACAATGTTTATCATGTTGTGTAAAATTAAGAGTATGAACATGTAGTGGTATGTGTATCAATAATTATCATAAATTATAATAATGTTCAAGTGATGCTGGACATTTAATTGAATAATGACTAATAGATAATAACCAATGGTCCTAAAATAAAAACATATGATCCTATTTTGAGAAAGTCATTATGTTTTAGTTCTATTAAGGTAAATTATTTTTATTTCTACCCCTAACTAACCCCTTAAACATTTCTCCCATGCTTTATATCAGATCTTTATATCAGATTTCTGAGGAGATCGAGAACTTGACATGAGATAGAAGATCGACTCCATTAATTTCAGACTTTCGAATGGGCATGCCAATTTACATCGTTATGTTTGGAAGAGAATAATTAAGAGCTTGACCTGCGAGAACAAAGATCAATTAAGTAAGTTTTTTTCTTGAATGAGTGAGAATAAAGATCAATTGATGAGATGTTCATTGAAGGTAGAGGTGGAAATTAAAACTGGTTTGCTACCAGTTGATTCATATTGGATTTTTTATGAGGGCAAGTTAATTCTTCTGTGAAGTTAAGGTCCGTGTTCATTTTATGGACCTTAGTGTATTTAGAACATAAAAGAAGTGGACCTTTGCAAAAAAATATCCACATGCAACCCCATGAAAAATGTGAGAAGATGCACATTTTAAATGTAGACCTTGGGATCATAATCATCATATAAGCATCACTCAAATTTTTATCCTAAACACAATATACTATATTCATGGGAAAAATTATGAAAAAAATAAAGTGAAATTACAAACAAGTGAAACAACAATAATGCTCCCACCGTCCCTGAAACTTTTCTCCTTTTCTTTTCATCCGTCCCAAAAAAATTTTCTAGTTTTCATTAAAAAATCACATTTATCGCTAATAATTTTTAACATACCTATCTCAACACATCTATTCACTATTCATTTATCTATCAAATTCTACTTTTGTCTATTACATCGAAAGATATTTTTAGAAACTAAACATCAAAATACATTCTCCTTAAATTACTTAAAAATCAAAATCTTCGTTCCATGTTTTCATGGACGGAGGGACAATATACTTAGCCAATACATTTTCCAAAACACTCGATCTAAACCCGTAATTAATGTAAACAATTATTTCAAACTAAAACAACTACTCGAGCTCCCTCCGTTTTATTAATATTTTGACTTTTAGGAGAAATAAAGAGTTTATATTTGTGGTTGACTTTCCAATTTTACTATTGATATTATGAGTAAAAGTAAGATGTGATGGATAAATTATTAGTGAAAAAGTATGATGTAATATCTAGGTAGGGTAAGAAAAAGTAGAGGTAAATTAAAAATGATTTTTTAATAGAAAGTGGAAGTGTTTTGAGAAAAATAAAAAAAATAAAGGAGAAAGTGTTTTAAGAAACGAAGAGAGTACTTGGTAACTTGTTTGTGAAAGAGTAATTTACCTAAATAGGACTAAAACATAATGACTTTCTCAAAATAGGATCATATATTTTTATTTCCTAATGTAGGACCATTGGTCATTATCTATTAGTCATTATTCAACTAAATGTCCAGCATCACTTGGACATTATTCTTCTCACTAGTCATTATTAAGTCATATTTATGGAATAAAAAAGTTTAAATCTTACATTGGGAAATGACTTATGTTTTAGTCCTATTCAGTGCAAATTTCACTAGAAATAATCAATTTACTATCGAAGCACCATAGGCGTCCCAATTGAATTGGTGTCCAATGTACTAGTGTGATATTATAGTTTCTCTTTAATTAATTAATCACTTACTTTACTTAATTGTGAAACGTCTGACAGATTTTACTCTGTTAGTCTTCTCTTTCATGTTAAGCTCTGGGGCGTCAAAACAAGGATGTAAATGAACTCGCAAAAGTGATCTCTATTTCTTATCATGTCTTCAATATATTACCGTTTCACTAATTCACTACGTACTTAATTTAATGTAGTGTCATGTTTGAAAACCTTTTTTTCGTTGATCTTCTCTCTAATATAATGTCAAGTGATCAATCTGTAAGTTCGTGGGGGTACAGCGGAAATCACCAATTGAAATTAAAACTAGGCAAACAGATCAAACAACTATACTGTACAGAAGATATCTCAGCACTGTCACAGGAATAGATGACAGACAGAGTGCTACAACACCTTCTCTGTCACAAGCACACACGTAGAAGATAAAGTAAAAACAGTAAGCAAGACACCAGAATTGTTCATGCAGTTCGGAGCAAATTCTCCTACGTCTGCTGGGCCCACGTCTGTGTAATAACCTTTCCACTAAATCACCGTAAGAATTACACAATCAATCACAATAGAACCTTCTAATGTATTGGTCTGTCTACTTACGAATGATTTGACGACAAACTCTGTTTGCGTCTAACTCCACGGCTTGTTACACCTTTTCAAAGATCTTCTTCAAGGACGTAGATTCTAGTACACCTTCAAACAAAGATTCTCCTTGATCTACAAAAATACGCAAGCTGATCCGAAGCTCCTAAATCAAGATTGAATTGTTGGAATTCGATCTCCACCGTTCAGGTTGAAGCTCCACGAGTCCTTAGACTCCTCCTAAAATTTTAGCACGATCAAACAAGATTTGGTACTCCAACGATCGAGAAAACCAGAGCTGCATTTTGTGCAAAAAATCAGCAACAATGTGTGGATTGTAACTTTGAAAACAGAAGCTCCGTAACTCTGATTGACGTGAACATTGAACACGTTGAAGCCCTATGTGCTGGGAACACTCTCTAAAACTTTCAGCACAATCCAACAGTCAGACCTCCGACAATGATCAAACCGTGCAAGCTGTCCAGAAACTTTGCACTCTTAAAATCTGCACGTTGTTTTTCTTTTGATCGGATTTGCTTCAGGTTTTTCGTAGTTTTGCACGCCAAAACCCTAAGGGAGGGTGAAGATATTATATGGAATTGAATAGACCTGTTAGAGTGTGCTTAGGAGTCTCAACCATGGCCTCCTCCTTAAGAATAGTAAACCAAGTAGGATTAGAATTCTCTCTTCAAGCTCTTTCCTCTTTCTCTTCCTTCACATGCTAGGACTCTAAGTCTAAATAAAACATCTAAAATATGTCTAGGTAAATCTATTCGTTTGTCAAAAAGTAATGCCAACACAATATGGAACTAATACAATCTTCTCAGAACTCAGATGTAAATCAACGTGTAACAATGATGTTTCTTGCATATCATGTCAGTTACAAAGTATATATTGTTGTCTTATTAATTCACTACTTTATTGAACTACCATGCCTTTGAAAACCATAAATATTTTTGTTCTTCTTTCCTAATTTCGTCTCATAAATTACCTACTTACTTTACTTGGTTGTCACTCATTTGAAAATCACAATCATCATTGACCTTTTCTCTCATTCCAAGTTCTCAATCTCCTCAAACTTTGATATAAACCCACCACTAACAGTGATCTCACTCGCTTGTTTTGGTATCTATCACTGTCTTATTATTTTACTACATACATTACCTTATTGTCATTTGAAAACTCTTGTCACCGTTCATCTTCTCTCTCATGTAGTCATGTTGATCAGGTTCTCGATCTCCTCAAATTCCTGATGTAAATCAACCACTAACAGTAATCTCATTTTCCTGTCTTGTCATATCTTGTCGCCCCATTAATTAAGTACTTTTTTAATTGTCCGTCACGTGTTTGAAAACCACAATCATTGGTAATCTTCTCTCATATCAAGTTATCGATCCTTAAAACCATGATTAAACCCACAACTAATAGTGAGCTTCATTTCCTATCTTGTCATCTATAATCGTTATCGTCTCATTATTTCAGTATGTACGTTACTTGATTGTCCCCCGTTTGAAAATTATTTCCAATAGTGATCTTCTCTCTCATGTCAGGTTCTCAATGTTCTTATGCAAATCAACCATTAACAGTAATCTCGCTTTCCTATCTTGTCATAGGTTCTCGCCTCATTAAATAACTATCCTTACCTGTCTATCATATGTTTGAAAACCACAATCATTGTTGATCTTCTCTCTCATGTAAAGTTATAGATTTTCTTAAAACTCATATTAAACACACCACTAACAATGCTGTTCGTTTCCAATCTTGTCATCCATAATCATCGTCGTCTCATTATTTTACTATGTACTTTACTTGATTGTCACTCGTTTGAAAAACTATTAACATTGTTGATCTTCTCTCTCATGCCAGGTTCTCGATCTCCTTAAAGTTCTGATGTAAATCAACCACTAACAGTAATCTCACTTTCCAATCTTGTCATATGTTGTCGCCTCATTAAGTACTTTCTTTACTTGTCTGTCACGTGTTTAAAAAGCACGACCATTTCCATTATTGTTGATCTTCTCTCTCATGTCAAGTTACCGATCTCATTAAACTCATATTAAACCCACATCTAACAGTGTTGTTCGTTTCCTATCTTGTCAAATTATTACCACTGTTGATCTTCTCTCTCACGTCAGGTACTCGGTCTCCTCAAAGTTCTGATGTAAATCGACCACTAACAGTAATCTCACTTTCCAATCTTGTCAAATGTTGTCGCCTACTTGTCTGCCACGTGTTTGAAAACTACAATCATTGTTGATCTTCTCACTCATGTCAAGTTATCGATCTCCTTAAAACACCGATTAACCCCACACTAACAGTGATCTTCTTTCCAATCTAGTCATCGATTTATGATCATCATCGTCTCATTATTTTACTATGTACCTTACTTGTTTGTCACCCGTTTGAACTAAAACCATTATCTTCTCTGTCGTGTTACGTTCTCGATCTCCTCAAAGCTCTGTAGTAAATTAGCCTTTGACAGTGATCCCGCTTTCCTATTTTGTCATCTACCTGTCGCTCTCTAAATAAATTGACCACTTACTTTACTTAATTGTCACTCGACTCATAATCAATTATTACACAGTCGATTTTTATTGATCTCTCACGTCAAGATCTCAATAATTGACCATTTACTTTTCTGTCCCTCGGCTCTTAGTCATTTACACAGTCGGTTTTCTTTGATCCCTCACGTCAAGTTATCGATTGATCTGCACCCGCGCATCGACGACGTGTCATCTTCAGAATTAAACTTCCCACACACCAGTTAATTTAATGAGTAACTTTGGAAAAAAACAAACAAAAAATTACAAATTTCATCCCAAAAATTTCAAAATCAAGGATATACCTTAGACTTATTTCCTACTTTATCTTCTTTAATTTGAGCACTACCATACATTCATATTGCGTCATATTATTCCTTCTATCGGTTCATTCTCATCAGATTTTTTCCAAATGGAGCAAAAGTCCGTTATGCAAGCTAAGAAATAACCTAGGCAATAACGATGTGATTAGTATAATTAAAAAATTATTTTGATACTACGAAGTATTTTTCATGCACTTGGTGACTTGACCCCATAATCGCCACGTGGATATTCTATTTGTTCTTCATTCACCTTCAGTTCTACATCTTCACGTAAAATATATACTAATATTTTATTTTTTGAGGGAAAATAAATATATACTAAATTTGTTGTTAATACATAATTTATTTTTTGTGAGTGACTATATATAAATGCACCACCACCCAAACACTGCCTTAAACATCTTATATTCCTAATTCCATCCCAAATTAAGTAAACAAATTACATAAAGTTGCATTTGGTACGACGGTGGCCGGCGGCGATGGGTCTTTTTAAAAAGATCACTTCTCTCATTTTCCGTCAAGGCGGAGACCGCCGGGAAAAACTCATCGAGATGACGAAACCGCTGGAGGTAGCTCCCTTTGGATATTATTTCTTCCCTTCACTATTAAATGTTCATTATATTCTTTTCTTTGTTTAAATCATCCTTACAAAAGTTTTAATTTTGAAAACGGTCCTTGAACTTAATTAAGAATTTTAATTTGTTGAGATAATTAACACATATATTTCATACTCAACATTCTAATCTTGCATTCCGATTGCCCCAAACACAATTTCCGTGCCATAAATTGTGTGCTTCATGGAATTATATTCTCAAGACTATAATGTTAAATATGAAATAAATATGTTAAGTCAACTAATTGGAAATTCTAATTATGTTCAGGGGTCATTTAAGAAAATTAAATTTTTTTTAAGGATGATTTAAACCAAAAACAAATTACAGGGACAAAAAATCACCTATTTTACAAAGACAAATAACATATTTAACCCTAAAATAAAAATAGTTGTTTTAAATAATGGTTAATTGAAATTATTTACAATTTCATTCATTTAAATATTGATGAAAAATACATAAATCTATACATCATATATATATATATATATATATATATATATATATATATATATATATATATATATATATATATAACAGAGAGAGTAATTAAATCTTAATTTTTTCTCGAGTAAATTCCATAATTGGTCCTTTATAATAGGGGGGTTTCCATATTTAGTCCTCTATTATCAAGTATTACTTCCGTAGTCCTTTTTTTAAGGGTACCTTTCCACAAATGTTCCTTTTTTTGATCTTCTGTCGTGTTGGTTTTAATTTAAAGGCTAAAAGTATAATTTGACATCAACATTATTTTTAGTGACGTGTTCTGATATTGGTTAGGCGGATAACACAAAAATAATGACTATGGTTGTGGGCTAGGATTCTGACGAAAGACCACATTTGTAGATTATGGTTGTAGTAGAAAGCGACTGTAATTCACAAACGACGCAAACGGAACAGCCTTTAAAATTGTGTATGACAAAAAAGATATATTTTCATTGTGAAATTACACTTTTAGCTCTCAAATTAACATCAACATGATAGAAGATCAAAAAAAGGACTATTTGTGGAAAGATACTCATAAAAGAAGGACCACTTGGATAATATTTGATAATAGAGGACTAATTAAGGAAACCCACATGTTATAAAGGACCAATTATAGAATTTACTCTTTTTTCTCTTTACTCTCTCTGTCCTATAAAAACCTTCATAGTTACTATTTATAAGGTCAAATTTTATTCATATTTATTAGTTGTTTTTGTTATTAATTTGATAAAAGAAGATATTTATATCATATCTTTTTTGCAAATAGATAACTTTTTCATTCAATACTTATTTTGAACACTAATTAAAAATGTTCTTTTCAACGTATTATTATTATTTACTTCGTATAGTATTACTTAATTTTATTAGAATCCGATCAGAAATATAACTAAAATAAGATCAAAACTAATCTAATCAAATTAAATCTTAATAAAATCAGATTACATCTAATGATGAAAGGGGTATATTTTAAAGAAATTAAAAACACACGTCCCATCATTCAAGTTCTAAATTTGGAACTCAAAAAGAAAATATCATCATTAATGTTCTAAATCTGCTTCTGTATTCTTTAATCTCCTCTTTTAATTGTTAAATAATTATAATTTCAATGTTATGAGTTAATATACCTATTATATAAATGACGATCAAAATTTATAAACCTTGATTCCAAAACTCAAGGTGCTGACGACTCGAGACAACGGATTTGTCTCGGGCTAAATAAAGTATTTCATGCTAAAATCATGCTTAGTTCGTAAAAGTCCGCCCGTAAAATAATGAGCTTGGCCCGCAAAGTTAAAGGCAAGGCTTGGACTTAATGTTCAGATTGTGGGCTCGAGTCTCGGCATGTGTATACTTCTAAAAAGAAAAAGAATTATACTCCGTAATAATCTTTTGTCACACAAATATACTCTCACCGTTTCACAAAATATTTCTTCTTTTACTTTTTTTTCCTACCCTTACAACATTTCCACATTTCATTAAAAAGACACTTTTGCCTCTACTAATTATTACCATACGTTTTACATAATCTCGCTCATTATTATTCTACACGTTGCATCCAAGAACAAAATTGAAAAGTCAACTATAAAATACACTCTCTTTGAATTTGCCAAAAGTGAAGAGGAAGGTCTTTTTTTTTATAGGGAGGGAGTATATATTTTTATCATTTTTCATGGGATATTTAAATAAATAATTTCAATTAAATGATAATAAAAGTATTAGATAAAACATCGTACATACATAAATCGTTCCTTTGATAGTGTATTCATCATAATTATTTTATCTACCCTCTAATATATTACGAGCGTACTTCGTAAGACATTACGGTATTTAAAAAATTTATTTTTAATTATTTACGAAATATTTGAACGTGAGTCGAACCAGCCCGAAACGCCTGCATGTACTTGTACGGGCCGGGCTTGGACTTCAATTATTAAGCTGCGATGCGCACCGGGCCAGGCTCAAGGCTAAGAAATTCTCATAATATAGCCTCTCTGTCCTGCCTGAACTTTGATGGTCCATGTCTAATTATTACTCGGTTTTGAAAATAGACGGTGGAGATGAAGGTGGAGATGGATTGCAGTGTGTGCAAGCGGAGGGCAAGAAGGTCAATGCAGAAAATGAAAGGCGTGGTATATGTCGATGTCGATGCAGACCAGCTGAAGGTGACGGTGATGGGGTACGTGGACCCCGAAAAGGTTTTGGACGAGATGAGGCGTGCGACGGGGATGAAGGCGGAGTACTGGCGGCCGGAGACGGCGGTGAACCGCGTGCCCGTCGACGGCAACAATTCTATGGGCTCAACCCTTGCATATGCAAGTTCTTCTGATTTCATGGCAGTCACAACCTTTAATGATGAGAACCCAAATGCTTGTGCAACAATGTGATATATATATAAATGTTGGGGGGAGAAAATAAGTTAAGGTTTTAATAATCATATGTATGGCAGTATCATAATGTAAGATTATATCCCAATAAAGTGACATTTTGATCCTGTGCATATTTTGTTTGAACCCATCATGAGTATGGTAGGATCATAATGAAACATTTATTTTTTTGTATAAATATATTTATCAACAATTAAAGAATTATATTGAAGTCTGTTAACAGACAAATAGACAAACTAAATTTTAATTTGGGGGACAGAATAATAAATTCAATTTTGTAGTAGCAGATAATTCTACTACAAGTTGATCCCAATGCATTCTTTCACTATGCCAAACATCACCTAAGATTTCTCTCATGTATGGAGTAGATAAAACTTAAGGTAATTCCAGAAATACCCATCCCATTCTACAATACCAAACAGATCCTATCCATTATATAGTGGAAAGAAGAAAAAAATAGAGAGGAATTTGAGTATACAAATGCAGGAAAAGTAAAAGCAACATAAACTGTGCAAATTTGTTTCCCTAAAATGTTTTGAGCCAATACAGAAATTAAAGCAAATCAAAATGGAGTCCTACACAATATTGCAGCTGGGACCCTAAAACCGGAGCCCGGCGAAATGACATTAGAGCCCCTTACCCTTACTCTGGAATGAAGGGTACAAAAGAGAACAGCAGTGGTAAGTCATATATCTCCAGCAAATCACAATATAGAACAAGCCTTCTGGCCCTTGCCCTTCTTTTTTTTCTGCTTCGGGGGCGCTAGCACGACTTTTATGGCAGCATCAAATACTGCTTTTACATTCTGCAACCATTTATACCAACACATAAAACTATGTCCGCAATTAGAGCTGGCAAACAATCCGGTCAGGTCAGGTTTAGGTTCGGTTGGATTGAACCCACTTTTAGTGAGTCATTTCGAGTTCGGTTAACAAAAACTTTGTTCGAAACCTAGTACTTTTGGGCCGGGTCAGTTTTTGTCATGTCTATCTACAATGCGTGGAGCAATGTTTTGTAGAGGCCGTAGGCGCCAGATGGCCACATGGTGTCACCAATAAATAGGCTAAGCTTTTTAATAAGGTTGCTTAGGATATTAAAAAGATTGACAAAACAAGTGTCTTAAATGATTTCAAAGTGTACCCATGTTAGATACAGTATTCTAATTCAATGTAAGGAATTATTACAATTCAATTATTATGAGATCAAAGACTAAAGGATTTGTGAAGGACATTATAGCTAAAAACTATTTAAAAAATAAAACATAAAACTGACCTAGGACCACCGTAGGAACATTAATGCGGCTCACCGTTTTTTGCAGCCGGTTTGGCTAAAATTGAGGTGCCCAACTTCTGCCTAAGCCACTTTTTTAGGGCACTGCCATGGAGGCATTATTTGGAATTTAACAATAAGTCAGGGATTAAGAGATTCTCAAGAAACCCCGATTCATGACATGCACCTTGTGGTTTAATGGTATCTTACTTTCCGGAGGGAAGGAGGTATGTTAGACAAATATGGACAGTGGCATGTTGACCCAATACTATATATGTATCAGTGCCCGCGAAAAAGAGATATAAATATAAAAAAAGTTTAAAAATTGATGGAATCACAAGCCCTCCACATTCAAAACCAAACATACAAAGTATATCCCACTCATGAGTAGGGTCTGGGGTCACGATGTACGCGAATCTTATCCATACTCAAATGAGTGGAGAGACTGTTTCTAAGACGACCCCCCACAAATAGAGAGATGTAGTGTGGGAAGTGGGAAAAAGAACCACTTAATATGACCAAACAACAAAGAGCTAGATGAGCAAGTAGTCACACACATAACCCCTCCATATATCATGATAGATTTTGCCCAATAGACATGAAAATCAGTGAACTCTCATCATTCAAAAACACAGCCACATTTAATTATCGGTCATTCAATTCCCAATAATTTGGCTTTAACCACCAAATCATTCCAAACATGGCCAAAGATCTTTGATAATGAGATTAAGCATAATTCTAGAACAATACAAACCTCCTGTGTTTTTGAACTGCACTCAACATAAGAAGGTGCACCAATCATTTTCCTTAGCTCCTCTCCCTGGATTCAGAGACGAATCAATCAACATTAAAAGAGAAAAAGTTCATCCGAAAGTACCCATTCTTCTTTCAATATATTAACAAAAAGAACTGCAATAGCAGTTTTGGTCACACCTGAGCAGTGGTAATTGGTACGGCACCAGGATGATCAACAAAAAACTGCTTGTCCTCCCGAAGGTCTGAGTTCATTATAAAGGTAAATTTAATTATTTGATGATGAATACGAGAATTACAGAAACCTAGCATTGAACTATGACATGCTAACAAGTGATTGTATGCATGTCTAGATACAAAAACAACCGAATAAGGTCCATCTAAAGACAAACAATGATAGATTACAAATCCATTTAGGTTCATGTGTAACCATCGATAATAGAACAATGCACTCAATTAATCTTCCCATTATAAAGTGTTAAGGGTATGAATTCTCACCAAGTTTTGTTCCAACAAGAACAATAGGCACACCAGGAGCATAATGCTTCAACTCTGGAATCCACTGGCCATAGATTGATCAAAACTATGATAAGTCCACCAAAAAACTGAAAATATTGAATAGAACTGTGTATAGCAATCAAATCCCAACCTTTTTGGAAACATTTTCATAGCTAGCTTTACTAATGAGAGAAAATGCCAAAATAAAAACATCAGCTCCGCGGTAACTCAGAGGTCTTAGTCTGTTATAATCCTCTTGCCCTGTATTATTGCATAAAATTAAAGAAATTAATAATAGGGTCAATTGATTAAATATGTTTTTCAGCCATGAAAGTATAGCATTTTGGTCTTAGATCACTAAAAAGATTACTCCCAGTAATTTATCATTTTCCTTTTTAGTCTATCTATGTCAACTTCAAAAACAATGATGTGCATCGCATAACTTCAGTCTAGACTTTCCACATAATTTTGTCTTGACTATGTTTTTGGTCTGCAAAAATTTAGCACTTTTAATAGGAAGTACTCAAGTATGGAATTTCCACACTATATTTGAAGGGAAGAAAACATATTGAAGACTTTTAAATTTTGAAGTTAAGACTTGAATGCAGTGAGCCACATGAATGTCTTTAAACAAATGGTGGCATGGAGGGCTAAAAGAGAATATGACAAATTGCAGTGATGAATAACAGAGAAACAATAAAAGGAACCTAAATAGAACAGATGTTATATTTGCAGAGCAAAAAAACATTCTTAAATCCATACAACAAAACCTGTAATGGGCAGAGCCCTTTGTGTCCCAAGTTTAACTAGTTTATGAATACTATAATGGAATTAGGAATAGTTACCGGCGGTATCCCACAACCCAAGGTTAACAGTATTCCCATTGACAACAACATTGGCACTGAAATTGTCGAAAACAGTGGGAACATAATCCTGTTGCACATAGGAAAATGAGAAATTATAAAATGGCATATAAATTATAAATTCATAACATGGAGCGAAACTCAAACATACACCTAAGAATCTGACAATCATCATCAGCAAGTTCCGTATTAAAATATAAAGGAGAGAAACAAGATGAGAAATTTAACGTACATGCATATGCAACTCCCCAGAACTGCATTTCAATGCAACACAGTTTATAGTAACAAAATATAAAGAGTAAACTTTTTTCAGAAAGTCAATAATCTAGCCTTGATCAATGCGATAAATCAAAAGTTTTCCCTTCCAACCCTTGGACAATACTAGGGTCACATTCCAACTACTCTTTTAATTGAAATAGCTCCTTGAGGAGGTTCAAAAAACAGATGCTGTAGATTGTAGGAGGGCCTTCTCTTTTCTGTTTCACACGTCAGAAGCATAACCTCAAGTTATGAATGGTTGAGATATTGACTGATAATCATCAATGCCGGTGCTTTAACAGCAATGGAGCTCTCACGGAAATTATATCACAGGAACCAAATACTTCGGCATCCAAAGATGGAAATTCGGGGAATGTTCTCAAGACTAAACACCACAAGCAAATTTACAAAGAAAACGAAATGCTTCCAAGAACAGGCAGTGATGAATTTCCCCATCAAACAAATTAAACAAAACAATTTCGAAAACAGATCAAAGGAATCAGACAAACCGTGGGGAAGGTGTTGCTGGTGTAAGAGATCAGGAGGCAGGTCTTGCCAACCGCACCATCACCCACAGTCACGCACTTGATGAATCTGGAAGCGCTCATTATGAAATAAAAAAAGCCTCAGATCCTCCTCTTCCTCAGAAGACCTGATTTCCTGGATCAAAATGCGCCCGCACTCGCTTCTCTACACCAGCTCTTTCCTCCCGCCGAAGAATCGCAGCAAAGAAAGAAGAACCCTAACCCTAATTATTCACAAGCAAAAAAATGGAGAACACACATTGATCGGAATCAGTGATGGGGGGAGGGATCAAAGAATAGGATGAAATGATGGGGAAAATAGAGAAGGATTTGAGATCCGAGATCGGGAAATGGAGTCTCTGCACATACCTTATTTTCCGGCGAGAAACAATGCCTTTGAATGGCTGGGCTCCCTCGATGAAGACGGATGATAAACGACCGATCCAACAACCAAAATCTCTCTCTCTCTCTCTCTCTCTCTGCAACACCACAAGAAAAGCTCTTTTCTTTCCCCATTTCTCGACGCTTTTCTCTCAACATTAAGAAGACATGTGGGCCACGAATTAGACACGACGGCCCAATGCGAACAAATGTGTGACAAAAGTGATTTCACGTTTATACTTTAGACAATTGTTGTTTTTATTTGAAACCCGTTAAGGCGGGATGACTGACAACGGACATGGTTGACTGTGATAGTGGTAGTTGGTTGTGGGAGTGGTCGATTGTTGAGTAAGATATCAAGCTCTTACAATTCATATATCCCAAAAACAAACAAGTGATATCAAAATTTCTCATTTGAAGGCTTTGTGGTATGCAGAGATATTCAAAGCATATTCTGTTTCATTATATTTGGTTCAAGAAATTTGAAGGAAAAATAAGTGAAAATGATATGGAAATAATTTTTGTTGTTTGGTCAGAGAGGAAAAGAAAAACAATGGAAAGAAGAGTAATGATAAGACAAAATGTATTAAGAGAAGAGAAACAAAATTCCTCTTATTTTGAAGAAGAAAATGAGATTTTTTTTTCATTTCAAATTCTTTGAACCAAACATAGTGTTTATGTGTCACTAACCACCGAGAAAGGTTATGATATCGTGAGATATCAAAAACTCAAAACTAATATCTTCTGCGCTCATCAAACTTGCCTAAGGGTCGGCAAACGGGTCTTGGAACCGCACGGTTCAGAAGAGTTAGGGCCGGGTCCAAAATTTTATTTTTAAAACAAACCGTGTTGGGGCGGGTCATTTGGCAAACAAGTCAAGTCGGTCCCTAATGTTTAGAAACATGTAGACTCGGACCAGCCCGTTCCTTATAATTTAATAAAATTATAAATTAAATATGCAAGTATTAAATAAATTAAAGTATACTCAATATTGCATTTTCGTCTTTTCATCAAATTGTATTAATAAATAAATTCTATATGGTATATTCAATATTCTATTAATAAATTATATATAACATCATTAGTAAAATTTTAGTCGTCAAACGCATTTTTCATATACCTTTTACAACTTCAGTTGGTGAAAGTCTTTATGCGATGAATATTATAATTTATTTTTATTTCATTTATGAAAATCATGGATTAGTTTCAAAAAGTGTTTAATTAAGTACTTTAATTTTTTTATATGTAATTTAAAATTCAATAATAATGAGATTTTTTATATATTTTAAGTTAAGTAATTTTAATTAAAATAGCTGTAAAAAAGAATATTAAAAAAAGGAGGATGGGCATGATGAGCGTAATTCACACGCTTGGATGGAAAAGAATAAGATGTCATTGAAAAGAAAAAAACCGACGTAACACTGAATTGGCAATAAAGAATGGTATGATGGACGTAATTCACACCGTTCAGCCTTTCAAGAATCAAAGTTTTCCACATATTAGAAGATTTGGGTCAAAATAATGTACATGGTTCCTTGCTTTTCTTCTCCACTATCATATTCATTACTTCTTCATCTCAAACATTAATTTCTACATATTCCCCAAGTAATAATAATATAAATATAACACACCCTTCATGGCACGAGAAGTAATAATAACAATAATATAAGGATTATTCTTATTAATTATTGTCTTTGAAGTGAATAATAATTAAAGTGTTTAATTTAGATGATGAGAGCGGATGTGGAGTATGTGAAGGAAATAGAGAAGACGAGAAGAGATCTTCGGGCTCTCCTCTACGCCAACCGATGCGCTCCTCTAATGCTTCGTTTGGCGTATGTTAACATTTAATTATTTACACTTTCAAACAAATAAAAAATAGTATCAATATACACCAAACGAAGTCGTTAGCTCAATGTTTACATGTGATTTAAATATCAAAAGTTTCTTCTTGACATTAAACCGTTTATATCTTCAATTATATTTTTGTCAAAGTTATTTAAAAAAATGTATTATATTTGACGATATAATACATTTGCATAAGAAAATGGATAATCATCAAAACCAAACAAAAACACAATATATTTTTTATTTAAGTCAAATTGGATCAAAATGGTGGGTTTGATTTGCACAAGATTTTAATTTTGCAGGTGGCATGATGCAGGGACCTATGATGCAATTTCAAAGACTGGAGGCCCTAATGGCTCAATTAGAAACCAGATTGAGCTGAACCATATTGCTAACAATGGGCTTAAAACTGCAATCGATTTTTGCGGTAAAAAAAACTTGCCATTTATTTTCTTAGTTTAATTTATTTGGTTAACTTTTTAAATTCATGAATGATTTTTAAATATTTTTCCCATTTTTACTTCAGAGACAATAAAAAACAAGCATCCAAAAATTACATACGCTGATCTATATCAGGTTAGAAACTTTATTCTATATATATACGGAGTACATCCTCATTCTAATATTTTTGTCTATGTGCTCATTCACATTTTGACTTTCACAAAAAAATAAAAAAATAAAAAAAATTGATACTGATGAAATTAATAAATCCACAAAATATTTTGTAACATTGTTGAATTTTTTCCGGGGTCACCCCAGATTCTAGAAGAATGGAAATGCAGATAAGAAATCTAACAAAAATTTTACAGGAATACTTTTAGATTTGACCGATTATATAATATTATTCCTAGATTCATTTTTAGATGTCAATACTCCAAAAAATTACCAAATTTCACACCATTATTACTTCAGTTCGGTAGAGTCAGCTTCATGCATAATTACGTGAAATTATTTTGGCTGACATGATATCTAAAATAATTAAGTTGGCTTGCATCTAAAGTAATGTAATTAAATTGGATGTCATTTGGACTTTATTAAGTTATTCCAAAAATTAAGTACAATTCTACAAATGATCGATATTCAATTAAGTCATACGAAGTACTACATATTTTAGATGTGTTGCTAACAAATTATTTCAAATGTCATATTATCTAAAATAATTCTACGTATTAAGCACGAAGCTGAATAAACCAGACTGGAATAACGAAGTAAAATCTAGTGAAAGTTTTAAATACTGATGAGCAAAACAAAATTTGAAGTAATATTGTATAATCGAACACATCTCGGAGTATTGGTGTGAAAGTTTCATTTAAAAAAACTCTCTTCTTCTAAGACTTCTTCTCTCTTAGATCTTTCCAGATATTATTCACATGGTTAAACGTAACTCATTTTATTGGCTTTTTTTATTCATTTTATAAAATAATATTGTCTTATCAGATACCGTTTTTTAGAACTTCTCATGTACATTTTTACTGCATAAAATTTATTTTTAAATTTTACCATTACAATCAAATGAATTGAATTGAAAATAGAATTAGGCTAGTCTCGTAACACGCAATAAGAATATCTGTGGGGGACGGAAGGAATACTTGTATAAAAATACAAACTAATATAAAGAATGTGGTTGTATATGGTGAATGAAATATATACATATAAATAGCTTGCCGGAGTTGTTGCCGTTGAGATCACCGGAGGTCCCACCGTCGATTTTGTTCCCGGTAGAAAGGTATGCATTCCCAGCAGAAACATACATTTACAACATTATTTGTATGTTTAATTTATGACACATATATAAAAGATTATTTTAAACAAATCTTCCCCATCTTATTAAAAAAAACATTTTTTTAATAATTTAGTATTATTTTAGTACGAGTCTATAATTAATAATTGTATATATTAATGTTTGGTTAAGGACTCACTGGAGTCACCAGAAGAAGGGCGACTTCCTGATGCCAAACAAGGTATTACTTTATTCCCTATTCAATTATGTAAAAGAAATTTTATTATTGTATTATTATTATTTTATTATGATGAGAAATCTTAATAATTAGAATACAAGAAAATTAAAGTTTCTCACAATTGTTTTTTGTTTGAGCAAATGTGCCACGGAATTGGTTCTGTCGCAAATTTGTATCGCGATATGAATGTATAACACATATATTTCGGTAGCTTAATTTTTTTTTTTTTGAGAAAACAAAAAAAACATTTAATTATTTTATTATGCAATTTTATTAAGGTCCATCTCACCTAAGAGAAGTCTTCTATAGAATGGGCTTATCGGACAAGGACATTGTGGCATTGTCCGGAGGACATACATTGGTACAATAATTCTCCCTCCTTTTTTATTAATGTCTTGTTTGGAAACAACGTTTTCGATTAGTGTTAACATTTTGGATAAAATTTTAACGATGTAGATTAATTCTGAAAACGATAACTCTAAAGGTTGCCGTCAGATAGCTTTTCAAAACGATAACGCTAATTGCTGATGCCAAACGGAGCCTAAATATTTCGTATCAAATTCATAATTTGATTTTACTGTGCAGATAAAAATCATTTAGATATAAAAATACACATAAAAAATCATTTATAAAATCAATTGAAATGATCAGTAAATTTGCATTTTGAATTGGCAACTTTTATTTCTGAATTTAAAATGGTTCAATGACAGACATTTTGGCCTTGAAAAAGCAAGATTTACGAATGACCAAAATTGACAATAAAGATTTTAATAAAACCCCATTAAATAAATAACAAATTGAAGACAATAATATATTTAATAATAAAATCACATAATAAATTTAATCAAATTATTGTTCATGTTGCTTTTCTTTATTGTTTTTTTCTTGTTTATTTGGGCCTGCAGGGAAAAGCTCGTGTTGAGAGGTCAGGCTTTGATGGCCCATGGACAAATGATCCTTCCAAATTTGATAATTCTTACTTTGTGTAAGATTTTCTCACATAATTTAATCCTATATATAAGAAAAGCATTAAAATCACAACATTTTTTTATACATCAATTTTTTACTGTCTATATATCTTTCACTTGAATTATTTTCATCCAAAATTTACCTTGTTAAAATTTCACAGTACTCCAAAATTATTTTGTACTAAATTATATCACTCATATTTTAGCATATTTTTATAACAAGGTATTTCATCAATTTTATTCTGATTTCTTAAATAATTTCAAAACGACTTCGGATTGTGATAAAAGTTTTTTTAGGATAATGTACTCCGTTAGTGAGTTTTAACATAACGGTAAGTTGTCGTGTAAAAACAATGCAAGTAAAAGTTACTACCTCCGTCCCAGAGTATTTGTCCACTTTCATTTTTACACATCATCCAATACACTTCTTTAATCCATTTTATCTTGTGATTTGTATATTAAAAAATTATAGAAATTATATATTAATAATCTATATGTTAAGACAAATCAAACAAGATCACACATGACTATATTTAAGCTTACACATTGAGAGAATTTGATGAGTCAAAGTGCTTAGATGAACAGTTCCAAAAGTCAAAACTGGACAAATACTCCGGGACGGAAGGAGTATTATAAAATAAAAATTATTATGACTTTAATTCTCCTTATATATAATTCACCAGGGAGCTTCTCAAGGGTGACTCGAAAGGCTTATTAAAACTGCCCACAGATAAAGCTTTGGTGGAAGATTCAAAATTCTACAAATATGTGGATCTCTATGCAAAGGTAAAAAAAATGTTACAAAATGATTTTTTTAATTGTGCATTTATGTATGTGCTTTTTTACTTTTATACTCCCTCTGTCCCCCATAGATCTTTCCAATAGCCCTTTTTCTTTGTCCACAATAGATCTTCTCATTTCATTTTTTAACAATTAAAATACCACAACTACCCCCACTTACTTTATTTATTACACCTCACCCACCTCATTTAATACACTCCACCCATTTTCATTAAGGGTATTATGGTAAACTTTCATTTTTTTCAACTCTCCTTAAAAATCACCAAAAGTCAAAATGAGAACATCTTAGGGGACGGAGGGAGTAATATTCTAAAACTAAAATTGAAATATGCTCGTTAAGAATATGAACTCAACTTTTTTTAGTCAAGTTTTGACCAAGCTTTGACCAAACTGAGCCCGAACGATTTGTGAACCGGGTCGGCTTGTTATCACCCCTAATCGCAATGTTCTTTGAATATGGATCATCAGGATGAAGATGCATTTTTTAGGGATTACGCGGAGTCACACAAAAAGCTATCCGAACTCGGCTTCACCCAGCCATCGTCACAACAATCGTCTAAGTTATCTGCGAAGAAGAAAAAAGTAATTGTTGGGAGAGTTGTTTTTACTACCATAGTTGCAGTTGTCGCCATAAGTTACTTGTACAACCTTATCAATGGAAGAATTTAATCCCTGAAATGCATGAATAGAATACAAAATATATTGTAGTATGTTGCTCCAAGTATGCACTTGATGTTAATAATTTATCACATTGCTACACTTTGATCGCATGTTGTGGTAAAAATATACTCCCTCTGTCTCAAATTAATTTGACTGTTTACTATTCATATAATCAAACTTTATTCATTTTCTTTCTTTATTTTCATTAGGCATTTGATAAAATAATGTAACCATGTCATCAGTAATTTTGTAGATCTTTTGGTTTAATTTTTAAATATGTAATTTTTATTTTTAAATTCTACACCATTTTTCATATAAAATGATTTGAAAATAACTTCAGTCAAACATCATAAACCGAAACAGGTGATTTAAATTGAGAGTATTTAATTATAATACAAATTTAATACTCCGTATAAAGTTAATTTTAATATGTAATTTTGATATATCAAGTATTTATAAATATTTGGTCAAACTATTGGCACAGAAAGTGCACATGAAGATAGCATAAAACATTTCTTCCATTTATTCAAACCAGATGTGCAAGACAAATAGACAATGCTTCATCATATGAATATAGAGTACAAATAGACACTGAAGTCTGAGCATTCTCCGTTCGGTGTACATCAACCATATATCTAGATCCGGATCTTAATCAACTCGCGTGAGTTCGGGATTCCATTTTATCAATCTCTTGGACCTGAAAGATCAATAATGTATTGTCTTCTACATGCCAAAGATGGTAAGAAAGCACATAAAGTAGGAGGATGAGGTTTAGTTAGATCTAAGAACATACCTCAGTAGATATAATAATGATCACTTCATGTCCTCGTCCTTGGTTTCCTTGTCCTCGCTTTTCTGATTGGTTCAAGCAAAAAGTTAAAGGCTGAGTTAAGATATTGAGACGGGATATCTAGGAAACAGTATATCTACTTCCGAGTAGAGGTAAGGTCTATATATACTGACCCTCCCTAGACCTAACCTTCTGTGGGATTCGACATTTCTACTGGGTTTGTTTTGAGAAACTTGGTAGGGGTGACTATAAACTTAGCTTCAAATATTTACAACTATAGGCATTACTACTACTTAAATCTAAAAAAATGGTTTATTCATTATCACCACAAGGCTTAATATTTTCCAGAGAAGTGTTTGTGTGTAAGCTTTGCATAAAATCCTATGAAAGTAGTCGTGTTCATTTTGAAGAAACGATATGTACCAAAATGAATATCCACTTTTTTAGCTATTCAATGTGGTATTGATTATGTCTTAGTTTTTTTTTCCTTCTATAAATCTAGACATCTAGTGATTAATTAAACCATGATGGTTGAGATTTTTAGCATAAGAGGATATTGATTATTAAGGTTAATATTGTAATTGAGTCAAATTATTTTACTCTATATGTTACCTTAATTATCTGACCACTTCTCTTTTTTGCATAGCACTATATCATTCCAAACATTTCCTTTCAAGGAAAGCAATGTGGTTTGTTTTATTTCTCTTTAAAATAAATATCAACCACTCGTTTTCATTTTATTAAACCCATCGGGAATGTGTTCATTAAAGAGCTGATATACAATCTACTCTGTAATTTCCCAATACACAAGGCTATATCTATCAATTTGAACACACAGATCAGGCTGCTGCTGCTACTTATTCTGTATTGTTAGGTCTAGAGGGAAAATCCCTTGAGTGGTCAAAAGGAAATGAGAAAAGTACTGCAATACCTAAAGTGTGCGATAAGAAAATGTTTAGAGAGAAATGTTGTGAGCCACATATTCCTTTCCTAGAAGGAAATGAGAAAAGTGGGACGTATATTTTGGGAAGTATCTTTAAGTTTTAAAGTGGTCAAAAACTGCAGTAGTTTGCATTTTTACTTAAAAAGAAAAAGAAAAAAAAAACTAACCTCAGACTGACTTTGCATGGAAGCTAGTAAATCTTTAACAGAAGGATCATTAGGATCAACACCCGGAAGCTATTAAGAAATATACACAATTTAAAATAACAAGCAACATTGTGTATCCATTAATTATACCAGTAAAACACATGCTTTGATATTACTGGCTTTTGTATCATAAAGACTTACGGAAGCAAGGATAGACGATACAAAAGACTGGTCAGCCAGCAACTTGCTCATATCGGTTGGATTTGATTGATCGTTCACACTGTCTTGCACAGACAATTGAAGAGCTGCAGCACCACATGGGAAAAAAATTTGAGCAAAAAAGTGAAAACCACTATGAAACTTGAAACCCTTTGGATTATTAAAGGGCTCAGCCAGATGATTATACTCCGTCTGAAAAAAGCGTCAAATCAGTAGATGTTCAAAAACTTATGTGTCCCAAAAAAGAGTTTTATTTCAACAAAATAAGCCTATAACACCAACTTTGACCCCATGGATGACAACCATATGTAAATTTGTATACACACCGGATATAATCGTCTATGAACATACAGAGTTTATAGACCATTATATCCTATGTGTGTACATCTTTGCAGGCGGTTTTCATCTATGGGGCAAAGTTGGTTTTATTCTAGCATTTTTGTTAAATTTAATGTATATTTTCTCAAATATCCAAAAAACAAAAATGTCCCAGATAACTTGCATGTGTTTAAGATATTTTTTTTGAAAAAATGGGAAAATGTGTAGTATTGATAATTTATACTCCGAAACAGTTGCTCATTTTTATGATGTCTTAAGTTAGGTGCAATATTATGATTATTACTCCGTAAATACTATGCCAGGATAAGTGGATGGAACCATTACAAGTAGAACTTGCAATCTCATCTATATAACCGAGTAAAAGTATGTTTAGCATCTTTAGAGTTTTATTTCTCTAAGAAAGAAACATAAAACATATCCTCTGTACTAGTCAATGCACAAACTTACCAAGGGCCAAATCATGATCCTCAGATGCTGCTTCTGGCATGTCAGTATCTCGTGTGGCAATATTAGAGGATGAATCATCCATAGACATTGCTAGTGCTTGCTGTAAGAGGGCATTCTCATCCCTCTGAAATACATCAATGAAAATATGGGTGTTATTCTGTGGTTTTGAATAAATATTTGTATCTATTGTACTTTCAACAAGCAAAGGATCTCCCAACATCAGAAGGCACCAACCTCCCCTTCGGATCCAGAAATTCCGACAGCAACGTTCTCAGACATGGCCACATCTTGAGAGGCAATCTGTGTCTCTCCTTTTTCCTGATTTCCAGCTTCTTCTGCAGCTCTTTTTGCTGCTGCTTCTTGCCTAGCTCTTTCTTCCTCCATTGAAACTCGAAGTGCTAGTGCAAGTTCAGGATCAAGGTTAGGGTCCACTCCAAAATCAAAACCAGATACACCCCCACCAGCAGATGCTGCTGCTGCTGCTGCGGCAAATCCACTGCCACCCTCCCCATCACTTGTGAAGATAGGAGAGCTGAAAAAGTATACGTATATACATAATAAATGTGGTGATATGAAATTAATTAAACAATAAAAGAGCCAGTTTGTGGACTCTGTTTTGGCTTATCAACAAGTTTTTTCACCAACCACTGACTAATTTCATAGCGCAAGATGAAGCGGCTTAGGATTATTTAAAACACTAGTGCATGAGTTATTCTTTAGGCTGAAATGAGTGAAATTAAAGAGAAATAGCAATTCTACCTTTAATATTACTACATATTTTCTTTACTTAATTTACAAAATATATTTTACAATATTTTCACGGATGTCATCAAGCTCAACTGTTTCATGTCCAGCCTCTTCAGCTATTTTAGGTCTTACCAAACAGATAAAAATCTGAGACAAATATTGATGGATGTGTGAGTAGTAACCTTATAAGCACATCTGAAAGATTATTAGGACCAGCAGGAACATGTACAATATGACAACTATCATTGTTGTTTACTGCAGCGACTAGTGCCTCAAGCTTCTCAGTCTTCCCTTCATCTTCTTCGCCAAAATTGACAATATCCAGAGATACACTGTTCTTTTTCAACTTTTTACCAATCATCTCTAATACCTTTTTGTCATACTTAACAGGGCTGTAAAATAAAAATGAAATAATTTATTATTAGTGCACACAAGAAAAAGTTAAAAGTGACCGTCACTGCACATAAAAATCACAGTAGCTGCTATTTACCCTGCAGCAAATACAATAATCCTTTGTTGCTGCTTTTTGTTTTGGCGATGCTTGAGAGCCAGCTGAGCCACCTGAATCCCAGCAGCCAAATTCATATCACCGCCTATTTGAACCCCTGAATAGATAAAATCAAAGTCATTGCACTACATAAAGCAATAAAAGAAAAAGTCAACAACATCGAGATAGCACACATAGAATATTAAGAGAAAAGAAGCATACAAAAGAAGAAACAAACTCTTGTCATTACTCATAATCATCACCTTTATCCCACTATTTGGGGTAGGCAATATGAAATTTAGTGCCAATGACTTGTCGTAGCTATAAAATTAGTTACAAAATAAATCTACTTTGAAAACATAGTGATGAAGTTGTGTGCAGGGTGCCCTATACGTTGTAACCTCCATACAGAAGGTATAATGATATTACATTTCAAACCCATCATTATAATAGGTAAATTTTCCTTTCATTGAAAATTCCATCAAACCACAATGAGTTGATATAGTCATGCCTTGTCCAATTATTAGATTGGCATTATAAAATCAACATGTGCCATTTAGTAAAAGAAAAATATACATTGATAAACAGCTATGCATTCAAATATGCTTGAGGTTCAACCTAGGCCCAAGGAAGACTTAAGTTGCCAATGTTCCAAATGTCACGAATTCATAACCTCACAATAAGTTTGATATGAAATAGAACATCTCAAGAAACCAAAACAGCTACTCATTATGTTGTTAAGTAAAGCCCACCGTGCGTGCAGGCTAGTATCTTTCCAAGATCACTTGTGGGAGTGGCCAAAACACGAACCCCTTTACCAGCCATTGTCAAAACTCCTACTGTATTCTCGGGATTATACTGCAATACAATTGAAAATAGAACTCACAACACAACAAATCAAGCATCTAAATTATCCAAAAATTTCAGTTTCTATCAAAATTCAACTCGTTAAAGCAAGAAAACGGGATGACTTTGGGTAAAAAAAACCTGGGTTTTGGCACCACAGATGAGATTTACAGCGTCAGCTTGAGCTTGAAATCTATTTGGCGAGTAATCTCCATTGCGCATCCACTCCGAATTATCAATGCAGATCATCGTGGCCTTAAAAAAGAAACATGTAAATTAGAAAGTGAGAGATTTATGAGATTCGGGAACCCTAATATGGTGATAACACGAGAATGGTGAAACTGTGGCTCCACCTCGAGCACCATCGCTGGAGATTGAAGGCGAAGAAGAAGAGCTTGAAGGATCGAAAGTGATGAAAGGGAATCAAACAGAAAACGATGGGTTTATCGCCGGAGAAAAACCAAGTTTGCACCCGATTAGAGTCAATTGGAGCAGGACTTGGAAGCCTAAAAACCTTGTACTCCTGGAAAAAAATACCACATCCAAGATCTTCCCATTCCTTTTCACTATTTATTTTATAAAATAATACTACCTCCGTCCCAGAGTATTTATCCACTTTTATTTTTACACACCATCCAATACACTTCTTTAATCCATTTTATCTTGTAATTTGTATATTAAAAAATTATAGAAATTATATATTAATAATCTATATGTCAAGACAAATCAAACAAGATCACACATGATTATATTTAGGCTTACACATTGAGAGAATTTGATGAGTCAAAGTACTTAGATGAACAGTTCCAAAAGTCAAAACTGGACGAATACTCCGGGACGCAGGGATTATACTTTTGTTATATCTTATTTTGTAAAAAAAATTCATATAAATTTTTATTATATGAGTTTCATTTTTAAATTTTTTCCCTTCCAATTAAATAAATTATAATAAAAATAAAATAAATCAAATATCATAATACGTAATGAAAATATCTATGGGGACAGAAGGAGTAAAAAATACTTGAAAACACTCCATAATAAATTTTAAATCGAAGTGTATTTCATAACTTCTTCATGTGGTTCTAATCTGAATTTATTAATGTTGATCTAGATTGATTTTATTAGTGTACTTTAATGTCGTTATTCATCTAATATGAAAAATATCTAATCTAATTCTAATAAAAATAAGTGGTAAGAGTAAGAAATAAATTGAAAAAATATGATCATAGCGTATGACCTACAACTCTTTTGGATGGAATATTTTACATATGTCTGTCTGTGAAGGTGAACAAGACGGGTCACAAATTTTTATTTACTAAATTAATCATCGATATTTTCTTTTTCAGTGTTCCAAAAAAATCATTACACTTCTTTGTTTTTCTAATAAAGCAAAGAATATGTAGTTCATATTTTTTTTCTTTTTTCTAAATAAATTTCCACAACTAACTTTTTTTACTACCTTTTTTAACTTCTTAAATTCAAACTATGCCAATTAATTGGACATAAAGAATATAAAAATAGTAAGATCTAAATATATATCTCAAAAAGAAGATTAATACTATATCAAACTTATAGCAAAATAAAAATCTCATACTTTCTTTGTCGCATTTTAAGTTGTTTGTTATTCTGTACGACATTTGACTAAAGTTATTTTCAAATGAATTTATATGAAAACTATGGTTGAATTAAAACAACAACAACCCAGTTGGATCCCACTACAGTAGGGTCTGGGGAGGGTATGTGTACGCAGACCTTGCCCCTACTTGGAAGCAGGGAGGCTGTTTCCAAGAGACCCCCGGCTCAACCTGCACAAAAAATGATAGGGTATACAGTATAGCATGGATAAAACACCAAGTACAATGAAAAGAAAGTTCTACAAGCATTAATAGAAGATTCTAAACAAATACAACACACTACAAAACAACCTCTACAACACCGAGCTCCTATCCAACTACTCTAATCCTAGTTTTCCAAAGGTTCCCATCTAAGGCCATATCCTCAGTCAGGTTGAGAAGTCCTAAATCCTGCCTAATCACGTCCTTCCAATTCTTCCTGGGTCTACCCCTTCCCCTACTTCCCTCGATAACCGTAATCCTCTCGCATCTCCGTACAGGGGCGTCAGCATCCCGCCGTCTCACATGGCCAAACCATCTCAACCTCGCTTCTTGCAACTTATCTTCCACCGGTGCCATGCCTACCTGACGTCGAATGACTTCGTTCGTAATCTTATCCAACCTTGTCTTACCACACATCCATCGTAACATCCGCATCTCCGC